CATTCATTACACAAAATACCCTAAAGGAGAGAGAGCTATACAATTCCAATCTCCTCAGTTCTTGATAGTATCTTCCTTCTGTTTGCCCCTATTGGAGACTTTACATATAAAAATATAACCATAGGGGTGAAACAGTGTTTCAGTAACTAAGTAATCTAATCTATTCACAAGAATACAAGAATAGCATATGAGTGTGTGAAGTGACAATATGAAACAATTATCAGATACATAAAAGCACATGACTACAATATTCCATCTCATATAATGCATGATCAATACTCTTCACCTTATACCCTTTTTATTTTCTCTAACTAAATCTATGAGCTAACAACACAATAGAGCCTAGTCCATGTGACTGGACTAGCCCAAGCTCACCAATCATGAGATGTAGCCTTAACCAAAGATGCATTCCCCTATTTTGGACAAAATATTCCCCCTTTCTCGACTATTTATAGTGTCGTATGCCCAATCTATTTTCAAGATAGTATTAAGACTTTTAAACAAGAAAGACTGTGCAACAGGCACCCATGGTGCTAATATACCAGATTGATTTCATACAATATTCCGTAACAACTCTAGGGTGAACTCCTATCCTTTCACAATAATCATGCTTATAGAATACCAATGATACATATCATAATCGTAGGAAATGATCATAAAACACATACTAGCATTCCAAATTTATATCTAATTTTACAATGATTTACAAACAAATATAATTAGGTTTCAAAAATAGAAATAATACAATAGTTTAACACCACTTCAAATAAGTTTATAAAAAACGAAAACTCAAGTAAATCACTATTTTCACAATAGATTGTACACATACTTTCACAAAACTCATAATCAATCAAATACACAGTAAAATAACTAGATTATTTAGTTACCTTAATCCTTTTGTCACAAAAAGGGTTATCATAGCAATTTAATTACCCTTATAAATTTTGCTAACTCAAAAATGCTTGATCAATATCTAATCTATAAGATTAAACAATAATAATTAATTTACAACTCTAATTAGCCACATTTTAGGCTAAATTTGTGTACCACACTACCGAAATCCCATCTTTGCCAACATCAACACCTACAACACAATTCATCATTCTCATCTAGCATCCATAGGCCTAATAACACCAAAACACTAGCCACATTATCCCTAAAACTAAAATTCCCACTAAAGGGTTCGTCCAAATCCTAGCTCAAAATTCTAATTCATTATAAAATCCTTAAACCAAAATTTATAAACTTGATTTAACTCCTCAAGACTCCAACTAAGGCAAAACCCAACGGAGAACGACAACAACATCTAAACCTAGCCAACAACCTCAGAAATTCAAATGTAGAGGAAGGGGAGAGGAAAGAACACTTAACGCAAGGTGTTGCTGCATTTGAATGCCTCCCTAATGCTCAAAAGATAAAGTCCTGGCAGAGAAAACCTCCTCCTCCCTCACCCTTTATGTTTCTCTTCTATTTCTCCCTCTATTTAGCTCATGCATACGATCTGATTATGTCATGTTATCACACATCCGTCGCTACACATGGTACGTCCGCCATGGTGGATGGCACAATGAGGCTTGAACAAATTTTAGGCCTCACTCTGTGCTCGGTCCGCTTGAACTCCAATCTAGCCTACTTTTAGCTATTTAATGAGCTAATAACCTCATTAGTAGTCTAAAAACATCATTAATTTATTAATTTATTAAACATTAAGTGGACAAAGTTGAACTAGGATAAAATGTCTATGTAAAGCTTTTCTTCCCTTCATTCAGGTTTATTTTATAATATCGTTCCTTACTTATCTTTATTTTTACATTACTTGCTTTAAATTTTAATTAGCCCAATTCATCTCTCCTTTTAGGTGGGTTTTCCAAAGGCTAGTGTTCGTGTGCAAAGGACTTTGAACACAACTCATCCACCTGTGGATGAAAGCAAGATCTTTATAAATTTAGAAATTCCCCTATTTAGAGTAAATAAAGAAGAATTACTCTTTGATTCACAAATTTCTTGAGTTAAAAATATTTGGGTTGTTACATTGACCCTTAAGGTCCTCTAAAATTAAACTTATGGCAAGAAAATAATTGTGGGTAGTCCCTTCACATTGAATCTTTTATTTCTCATGTAGCATCCTCTAAAATTAAACCTTTCCAAATAACCTTCAACAACCTAACAGTTTTATTTTTGAGTTTTTTCTCTTTCACATTTTCAATTCTCACTGTTTCCACCATAAAAGATAGATCAGGTTGCAACTAAACCTTTGCATATTCAAGCATGTGGTAAGGGTCTGGTTGGTTCCTTTTCAATTGAGATACATAAAATACATCATGAATCCTTGAAAGATTTGGCAGTAAGGCAATTCGATAAGTAACTGAACCTACTCTCTATAATACCTCAAAAGGCCCCATGAATTTGGAGGTGAGTTTTTTAGACCAAATTGTCCTTCCAACACTTATTATTGGGGTTACCTTAAGAAAAACATGATCTCCCACTTTAAACTCTAGTTTTTGAGCTATAAGCCATCTCTATCAAATCAAATCAATTTGTTGAGTCGTTTGATTTACTAAATTTAGACCCAAAAGACTTCTCCCTCCTAAGTCCATCCAGCATAACAAGGACCTACACTTCCTCCCTTAGAGTGCCTTATAAAGGGCCATTTTAATATTGGTATGATAGCCCTTAGTAGAGTTACATGCTCCTTTTACCACATGGCTATAGGTTTAGTAGTTTAGAGATATGCATCTTACCACGTAGTAATAAAGGATAAAACATAATTAATATCAACAATACAGTCCAACCAGGATCGTATAATAAATGTATATCAATTTCAATTCCATAACATATATAACCTTCTATGATTATGATAATATTCATATATCCACTTGTCATATTTAATTATCAACATTAATTTTTATATATTTATAATGGTTGGTGATTAAGAATGAAAATAATTAAACCCAAAGTTACTTCTATCCTTTACATTAGAATAGAATACGCAACCAAAGACCAAACCAAATGCCCATAACAAATTCAGCACCCAACCACAAATATATGTAGCCTACAAGTTTAAACATCATCCTCAAAACTCCATCACAATCAACTATTATAATTTTTAGCATTTTAAATATTTTCCCAAGTACCAAATCTCAAGTTGAAAATGGAAAACCAAATCAATTCCAAACTTCATCAAATTTTAAACATACCTTCCTTGGAATCCAAAAATTCTAACCCAAATAGTAATTTAGTCAAAACATCACCTAATTGCTCAGTACAAAAATTCCTAAAAAATTTGAATTAATCAAACCATAAATCCAAATTTATCCCAAAAATTCAAATTTATCCTCAAACTTAATAATAAAAGCTTAGGGTTTAACCCAAAATCTCTAGATTCAAAATCCAACCAGTCCAAGTCCCAAATAACCAGCACATCTATATTTCTAGTTTTATATTAACCTTAATAAACCTCAAATTAACATAATCCTCTCATTAAAAACTCATACTAAAAATTAAAAATCCCTGTGAATTCCCACCCACGAGCTCCTAGGTCTCATTAGGGGTGCTTCACACAGTCTTTGAACAAGAAGGCAAGAATTGAGAGCATACCCAACGTCACCATTCCAATATACATGGCAATTGAGACCTTCTTTGTGGGCTTGTTCATTAGTGTTGTTACTATCATATTCAAAACTATTGCCCCATCAAAACTTGCCAATGGTGTTTGATTATGATCTGACGTTGGTCCCATAGGATCCTCATGAAAGATAGGATTGTCGAGAAGATTGGGGTGCACGATGGCGGTTGTGGTGGCGACTTGATGGTGGTTGGTGGTGGAGTAAAATCCTTCAGGAACAATTGTTAGTGCAAAATTTTTCTCGCCTTAAATTCATGGAAAGTTTTGAAGCTCATGGTCAGTCCGCTCTACACTTTTATCTTAACCAAACACTAATGGTTGGTCCCCTCTATCGTATGATTTTGTGTGATTAATGGAGAACAAGGAGCAAGAGATGGGTTTGTTTTCCTTTTGTGACAGGGAATTTGGTAATTAGATATAAAAAGTTATTTATATTGAAGGACTTTGTGTGATTATATAGCTATTTGACAATTTCACAGGCTTTACCCTAAAAAAAAAAGTGATTAAGGCTCTTTTATGTTACTGTGTCCCAAGTTACATGCATTTCTTTCTCAATATAATTAATTATTCTCAAATTCATAAACAATTGAGTTTAGGAGAATATGTTGTTATTTTTCTAAACTCAATCATCACTAAATCTGTAAGTAATTAATTAGAGAAAATGACAATAAAATCTCTTCAAATTATTTAAATGACAAGCTGATCTTTCGAAATGTCATAATTCTACTGAAGTTTTTAGAGACCTTTATGTTAATAAATTTTAAATTAAAAAAATTATTTTACCCTTATTGACAAGTTGTAATTTCTTATTTAATTCTTGTGATTCTTTAAATAAAGTTGTTATTTCTTAAACAAAAGTTGTAATTGAGGTTTGTTATTTTAATTTTTTTTTCAATAATATAAATTATACTTGATAAATTGTGATTTTTTGTTTAACTTTTGTGATTCATAAAAAACAAATTTGCTATTCCTTAAGTAAAACTTGTGATTGGGGCTTTTTTTTAATAACAAACGTTATATTTGATAAGTTATAATTTTTTATTTAACTCTCACAATTTACAAAATAAAATTTATTATTTTTTAAACAAAAATTGTGATTATGACTTATGATTAGTAATAAGTGTAAAATGATCATTTTATTTTAAAATTTATTAACATAGATATCTTTAAGTACTTTAGTGAAATTATAATATTTTGAGAGATTAGATTATTATTTATATAATTTAAAAATATTTTATTATCATTTTTTTAATTAATTATGTGAAGTGAAACCTTAAATTAATGGATAATTATATTGAAGTCTCAATAAAAGTTAATTTCAATCAGATTGTATGTGGCATTTGATTGTAATTTTCCCCTAAATTAATCCCCTCTCCCTCTTTCCCCTGGTGCGTTTTCGGGCTGGACTCATAACGTCTGCATTTTCATTTCGCGCGTGTTGCTCAGGGGACCCCTCTACCCTGGCAGCGGCTTGTCGTCGTCTTCTTCTCCGGCGTGTCCTTCGCTATTCTCTTCTTCGTCGACTCAAGGTTAGTTCTTCTTCTTCTTCCACATTTTTCTATTCGATTTCCTGCTTTCTGCCATGATTTCGAGTTGTTTAAGCCTTGAACTGATTAATAAGTAATCGATCGTGTTATGTCGTTTAACGGTGCCGTCTAACCCGCCTATCTAGCAATTCGTTGTTTCTTTAATCAATTAGTTTCTGTTCTTTTAATTGGTCATTGCTCATAAAGCTGCAAAATTTTCTTGTATTCGTTTAACGGAGATCACAATGTAGCCACTCCAGACCCCAAGAAAGTCCTGTTGCAGCATACCCCAACCCGTGACAATCTGTAGCTAAAATAAGGCACCTCACATGTTGGTAATGTATTAAAAATAGTTTGCTATCATATGGGGTCAAATACTCCCATTATGTGATTAGTTTACTTTTTTTCCCCGGAACTGAGATTAGTTTACAGAAAGCATAACATTTATAGTTGAAGGATAAGGTTAATATATATATATATATATATATATTTTTAATTGAAGGGAAAACGAGGGAAGATATTTACCTACCCTCTGTTTGAAACTTTAGTGAAAATACTAGGGAAATAAATTATTAGTTCTATATTTTGGAAGTAAAGAAAGGGAGTTTAAGGCTACGTCTAATACAGGGGCAGTTGGGAATTTTTCTCTCCGTCTGAAGTGTTGCTCATTTCCGGTGGAATTGTGTATAAAAACTTGCAACATAACAGTAGGGTATTCTAAACGCTCTATTCTTTTGAAGGAATAGTGATTAAGCCGATGTGATTGTTTACTGCGGAGAAGAAGCATCCAAATCTATAAAATTTACTTTGTGCAAATGTTTCTGTGAACTTTAGTATACTGTGTATTTCTTGGTCATGAACGTTCTGTAATACATTATTAATTATGGATTAAGTTAGCTCTCTTCATTTTAGTCTTTCATCTCTTTATGCTGCTTGGATATGCATGACTAATGCTTCTTGACAGTTTTTGATTGAGATAGAAATTATAGTTTGGTTTCGATTTATTAATGTTTTTGGATTCAAAATATCACTTTGGTAGTTGCATTTGTTGCGTAGTGACATTTCTTGCTTTGGTTTAGGAGTACAATTTCACTCAATTATTGTTGTTATGCTGATAGTTCATTCTCACTGAGTTATTACTTTTTGCATATCAATTACATCTTTGTTTTCTCTGTGGTTTTGGCTTGTTATATAGATAAGCAACCATAATAGGGAAGGAACAATGAAGGATATTGAGGGAGAAATTATGGATTTTGAGTATGAAGTTAGAAAGTTGATTAATTTTGAAGTAGCAAATGGAGGTCCTATGAACTTAAATCATGTGCTACAAGATTGAGAACGTCGTAGGTGTATATGTATTGTACAACTTGTTTGTATGATTGTACATGCAATTTATTTGTTGGGAGAGATGTCAAGACTAGTTAATAAGCCTATAAGTTGATGGTAATATTCAAAGAGAGAGCATGAAGAGAATATTCATGCAAAAATTACAAGATATGGAACAATGTCGTGATGTTCTTCACATGGGACCACAAGCATTTATGCAATTATTAAAATACATATTTTAACAACTAATTTGATTTTAAATTGATTTGGCTATGTTAATTTTAATATAATTTCTGCTTTCAATTTTTTTTTTTTTACAAAGATAATGAAACATGATATATTATGATATTAGGACATTATAGTTATTATAATATCTGTACATTTTCTTCTCTTTTTTTTCCTGTCCATCCAAATAGGAGGAGTAATAACTTTTTCTTTCCAGTTTTCTCTTCTCTCTATTTTCTCTCTTTCCATTTCTTTCCTCTCAACTTTTCTTCCTATCCAAACGAAGGGTAAAATTAAGCATAACCCCAACAAAAACACAATCTCCTAGTAAGAAGTAGAGGATAAGCATTTTGTCATTGGATGCCATTCACCTTTGTAAGCCTTGCGTGGTTGTTCTTGGGCAAGTAGTGAAGAAGGTTATAACCCTAGGGCTTTGTCTACTCTGAATATTAGGTGAGATTGATGTGCTCCCTCCGTTCCTATTTGTATGACACATTCTAGAAGTAATTTTTGATCCAAAAATATAGGACACTTTGTAATAACTAAACTGCTTTTTTCAATTTTTTTTCTTTCGTGATTAGCGTGAAGGTTATACAAAAGAGTTATAGAAGAAGATAGAGAGGGAATCGAGAGAAGAATAGGAAGAATAGAAGGGTTGAAGGAGAAGAGATTGAGAGATATTAGAGAGAAAAGAGATGCTAAGAACTCTGATTTCATTAATCTATCATCATGCCTTTTAATTCAGACGCTAAGGTTTTTATATAAGGACTTATAGGAACCAAATGGCTAACCTAACGGCTAAGTCACCCTTACTAACTAATGTCAATATTATAAAATCATAACAATACCCTCCCCTTCAAAAGATCCTTGACCTCAAGGATCATGTACAACAAAATGTGGAAATTTTTGTTGGAATTGATACAATGGCATCCATGATGCTTCTTCATTAGGTAGTTGTCTCCATTTGACCAATATTTCAGTAGTAATCCACCCCCACTTCCTCCCAACCCGTTTCTGCAGAATACTATTAGGTTCTGCAACTGATAGTAATTCTGGCCAATCCAAAGGTGGATGTCATTGCTTCACTTTAGGATTAGGGCAAAGCTTTAAAAGGGACACATGAAAAGTAGGATGGATCCTAGAGTCAGGTGGCAGTTCAAGCTCATACGCAATGGCTCCTATTCTTTCCAGCACCTTGTAAGGACCAAAAAACCAAGATGCTAATTTTTGGGAACCCCTCACAGCTGTAGACAACTGTCTATAGGGTTGTAGTTTGAGGAAAACCCACTGTCCCACCATAAACTCACGATCAGTCCTATGAGTATCAGCTTTTTGCTTCATTATGTTGGTAGCATGATGTAAATGATGCTTTAAAATCTTTAACATTTCTTCCCTTGCAATAAAAGACTTGTCTAGCACATCCAAATCAGCATTGAGTAAAATAAGGACAATGGATAGGAGGATTCTGACCATATAAAAGTTCATATGAAGTAGCCTTTGTTGCTATATGATAAGTAGGGTTTTACCAGCACTCAGCTTGTGACGACCACTTGCTCCATTCCTTGGGTTGTTCCCAACACATGCATTTTAAATAGGTTTCAAGGCACCTATTAGGTACTTCCGATTATCCATCCATTGGAGGATGATAGGCTGTAGAGAGATGTTGTTGAATACCTAAGATTTGTAGAAACTCCTTCCAAAAACCACTTACAAAAATTGGGTCACGATCACTTATAATCTTAGCTGGTGCACCATGCAATTTATAAATACAATCCATAAAAATATGTGCTAATAAAGATGCTGAATAAGGATGAGTAAGAGGAATAAAATGGGCATGCTTACTCAACCTATCTATTAAGACCCATATTGTATCCTTATCATGAGACCTAGGGAGTCCTTCAATGAAATTCATGGTAATACTCTCCTAAATTCTGCTTGATATGGGAAGAGGTCGTAACAGACCAGGTGATCCTATAGCTTCATATTTACATCTAGCACATGTCACAATGCTTAGCAAAATCTGTCACGTCATTAATTAGCCTTTTCCACCAAAATAGACCCTTAGTTCTGTGATAATTTGCTTGTACACTTGAATGTCCCTCTTGTGCACTAGCATGAAGCCATTCCACAATTTGTTGCTGTAAATTCAAATCATTTCCTACCACTAACTTCCCCTTCCTTCTGAGCAAACTACCATCCCATGAAAAATGACCCCAGATTCCATTATTTTCTTGCATCTTCTTCTGTATGTCTGAAATCACAGCATCATTTTGCCAGCTCCTTTTGGTTTTCTCAAGTAATTGTGGCAAAGAAGTATCTAAGACCATCTGCATCAGTTGCTGTTTTGGCACTCTAGAAAGAGCTTCAGCGGCAGAATTTTCATTTCCCTTGTTATATTGTATCTCAAAGTCAAATCCTGCTAACTTAGTAACCCAAAACATCTGAAAAGATGTATTTAATTTCTGTTCAAGCAAGTATTTCAAACTTCTTTGATCTGACCTGATTATAAACCTTTGCCGTTCCAAATATTGGTGCCAATACTGTACTGCTAATACCACAGCGATTAACTCCTTCTCATATATAGAAATTTTTTGATGCCTATCAGCTAACCCTTTGCTAAAATAAGCAATAGGTTGACCCTCTTGCATCAAGACAGCACCCACACCCACTCCACGCACATTAGTTTCTACTACAAATTGTTTAGTAAAATCTGGAAGTCTAAGCATTGGAGCAGTCATCAAAATTTGTTTAAGGTGGTTGAAGGACACAGCAGCTTCCTGGGACCATAGAAATCCAATATTTTTAAGAAGGGTTAGAGGTTTAGTCACAACTCCATTTCCCTTGACAAACTGCCTGTAGTACCCTGCCAACCTTAAAAATTTTCTCAATTGTTTGATATTTTGAGGCTCTGGCCAATCAGCCACTGCTTGAACCTTCTTTGGATCAGTCCTGACTATATCTCCTCCAATTAAATGCCCTAGGTCTTCCACTTCAGTTGCAGCAAAGGAACATTTACTTTTTTTAATAAAATACTGATGCTGCCTTGGTATTGAAAAAACCTGTTCTAAGTGATGCACATGTTCCACAGTGTTAGCACTATAAATCAAAATATCATTAAAAAAAAAAAACTAAAACAAACCTTAAAAATGGTGTGAAAATGCTATTCATTGCTCCTTGAAAAGTGGCTGGAGCGTTGGTCAAGCCAAATGGCATAACCAGCCACTCAAAGTGTTCACTGTGGGTCTTCAATGCAGTCTTGCGAACATCTTCTGGCACCATCCAGATGTGATGATATTCGGCCCTTAAATCCAATTTTCTAAACCACCTAGCTCCACTTAGCTCATCAAATAGGTCCTTAACTAATGGGATGGGATATTGGTTTTTAATAGTTTGTTTGTTCAACTCCCTATAATCTATACACATTCGCCATCTGCCATCTTTTTTCTTGACTAGCACTTTAGGAGTTGAGAAAGGCGAAACGCTTTCCTGTATGACCCCATTTTTAAGAAGATCTCCCATGAGTTGTTCAATGACATCCTTCTGTGCTGTTAGATATCAATATGGTTTCAAGTTAATAGGGTTGGTGCCTTCTTTCAAACAGTTGGATGATTGTGACCTTCTTTGAATGGTGGTAAACCTTGAGGTTCTTTAAACAAATCAGAAAAATCCTCTAAAATAGCAAAAATCTCATTTGGAGATCTTGTAGCTGTTTGAACCAAAAAGCATTGCCAATCTTCTTGTTGACTAGCTATGCATGCAGTAAATACATTTGATCTTTTAAACTACTACTGAACTCCAAATGCTTAGGTTGAACCATCTTCCACTGATTAGGAACATTAGCTTGCAATTTACATAATTTCCCTTCATACCAAAAGAACATGGTGAGAGTTTCGTAGTTCCAAAAAGCATTTTTGATGCTTTTCAACCAATGCAACCCCAATATCATGTCATAAGAATGCAGCTCTAAAATTTTAAAATCCAAAATAAAATCCAACTCTTGCATACGCCATTTGAAATTTTCCCAAACCCCATGCACCTTTAATTTTCTTCCATCAGCAACTTCTACCCAAGACTCATGGGTATCAATAGGTTGCCAACCCAGTTTGCTTGCTAACTCCAAGTTTAGAAAATCATGCGTGCTCCCACTATCAATGAGGATCAGAAGTTGCTTCTTGCCAGAATGGCCCACTAGTCTCATCGATGAAGCACTTTCAATTCCTTTCATGGCATATAGGGAGATTAAAGGAGTTTCTTCTTCATCAACTCTTCCCTTGTCTTGTTCACAGGTTGAGGCTTCTTTTGGAATTTCTAGCAACTCAATATACTGTAGTTGCATCTTCTAGTGTTGAGGACACTTATGATCACGGGAGAATTTTTTGTGACAATAGAAAGCATCTTCAGCTATTGAGAGAAATTTCAGGTAATTGGATGTACTTTTTAGAGCAGTGTTTAATGAAAAAGCTAAAGAAAGACTTTTGAGAAGTAGATGTAGCCTTTCCCTTTGACTAGGTCCCACTATTCAACAAATCATTTTTATACGGTGTCTAGGTTTGTTGTGAAGATAGTGACGAGGCACTCGAAGACACAGACACCTTGATAGAAGCCTTAACACTTGTCTTCTTCTCGGCTTGCCTTTACAAAGTTATTTCCTGCATGTGGGCCAATAATCTTGCTTCTTGAAGAGCTCTTGGTTTTAAGAGCCTAATAGGCCCTGCATATTCTTCCAATAGCCCTTCCATACATGCTTTAGCTAGCAATTCTTGTGAAAAATCTAGTTTACAGGCCACATTGTCAAACGCGTCATTAAAATTAGCTAGGGACCCCTTTTGTCGCAGTCTCATCAGATCTCTAAGAGGTGTCTTGTGAATGGGTTCGAAATGCTGTTTAAGAGCTTCCACATACTTGTCCCACGTGGGGTTTATACCGAACCAAGTTCTTTCCATAGAGTTATGCCATGCCCAGGCCTTTTCGTCCAAAGGAACTAACGCCATTTTCACTTTGTCTTCTTCTAGGGTATCATCTAATTCGAAGTAATGTTCGCATTTTCTGACTCATCCTGAAACATCAGAATGAGAGAACTTTAGAAAGTCCATATTTGTGAATTGGGTAGGCCTCCAATAGTCTTCACGATGACGATGGTCTTCTTCATGTGTGCAATGATGACCATTTCTACCTTGCCTATGACGTCGATCTCCGTTGATTGATTCTTCCTCTCGGTCACGCATCAATAGTTGAATTTGGTTTGACAGACCTATAACTTGATCACTAAGCATGTTGACGGCGTCTAACTTGGTGAGTCTTTGCTCAACTTTATGCAATCTTTCTTCCGTTTCTTGCTGAATTTGGTTTCTTGTTTTTACCATAAAATGTAGAATGAGTAGAAGGGAAAGAGGGTGGCTGAGGAGCGTTAGATTTGATGCCACTATTGTAGGATTATAAGATTTAGAAAGTTATAGAAGAAGGTAGAGAGGGAATTGAGAGAAGAACAGGAAGAAAAGAAGGGTTGAAGGAGAAGAGATTAAGAGATATTAGGGAGAAAAGAGATACTGAGAACTCTAATTTCATTAATCTGTCATCATGCCTTTTAATTTAGATGCTAAGGTTTTTATATAAGGACTTATAGGAACCCATCGGCTAACCTAACGGCTAAGTCAACCTAACTAACTAATGTCAACATTATAAAATCATAACAGTATTAAATGTAATTGCATAATGACTTGAAGTCAAGGGTAAAAATGAAAATTCATGTCTTTTTTTTATAATATTAGAAAAGGAAAATTGACTTTTCAAGATGTGTGAAACAGTACTACTACAAGGACTAGAGGGAGTATGTTCCTCTGGCTTTGAATCTAGATTTGAATTTGTTCCTTGCATCATCTATTTCTTGCGTGGTTGTTCTTGCTTTGTTTTAAATTTTTCACTTTAATTTGGCCTTGAATCTGGTCGTGTAATTGTTTAAATATTTATGCTTTTGAATTTGGGAATATTTACAGATTGACTTTAATATTGTTTACAAGTTTTGCTTGAATGGTGTGTAATTAGCTATTACACTTCTACCTATGCTTTTGATTGTGGTGTTTTGCAATGTTGGACTTGTTGCGTATTGGCATTTTGTTTATTAGTCTCTTCATATTATCACCAATTTATAAAATTCTCAAGGCAATTGCGATGCATGATCTTGTAAATGACTTGGCTTGAGTTGTGTCCAAGTAGCTAGGACAAAAATTAAAAGGGTATTATATTAACTATGCATATTTCAAAGATTTCAGTGGGGGCAGATGGCCCCACTGAATGCAATATAGGTTCACTTAAGGTGTTGATGTTAATGAACTCTTAGTTTTGCTAGTCTCCCAATTAAGTGTGTTGTTCTTATGACAGTGAAATTTGTCGTGGTAGAACTGGGAATGCTTGAAATTCAGGTCAATTTATTTGTGAAATTTTGATCATTTAGATTTTGATAAAAATATGTGAAGTGATTTTGTAGCACATAGGTCGAAAACTCTTGTCTAATTGATCCGAGGTATGTATACAGATTTATACGTGAGAGAAGACAATCAAATCTCCAAGAAATAAGGAGACTGAATTAGGAGAAGATATTCGAGAATAAATTACCTAAAAAATCTCTATTTTCCCTACCCACGGTATCCCTTTTAATAATAAACAATATTTACATTAAATATAATAAAACAAGGTCAACCACACTCCTCCTCAAGTTGGATCGTAGATACTAATCATGTCCAACTTGCTTATACAACTATCAAATGCTGGTTTGTGTAATCTTTTGGTGAGTACGTCAGTGGCTTGGAGTTTTGTTGGTATGTAGACGAGGTACACAACTCCTTCTTCAACCTTTCCCTTATAAAATGTCTATCAATTTCCACATGCTTGGATCTTTCATGTTGAACTGGATTTAGTGCCATACTTATGGCAGCTTTGTTATCACAATACAACTTTAGTGCAGGATCAGTCCTGACATATATTTCATCCAGTACTCGCCTTACCCATAGTACCTCTGATATACCTTGAGCCAACACCCTTAGTTTTGATTCTGCACTACTCTTTGAGACCACTCTTTGCTTTTGACTCTTCCAGGAAACTAGATTTCCCCATACAAATGAGCAGTAGCCTGATGTTGATCTCTTATCCTTGTATGCTCCTCCTCAATCTGCATACATCTGTGTAAATTTCTGTTGATCATAGGTTTTGCTTCTTGAACAATAACCCTTTGCCTGGTGTCCCCTTCAAGTACCTTAGGATTCTGTATGCAGCTTCCATATGCCTTTCTCTAGGGTCACACATATACTGGCTTGCAACACTTACTGCAAAAGCTATGTTTGGTCGAGTATGAGAGAGATAAATTAGTTTCCCAACTAGCTTTTGGTATCTCTCTTTCTCCACAGGTCCATTCTTCTCTTCTTATTCACAATCATCCTCCTTAGATTCAACTTCATCTTCTTCATTTTCTGTATCTTTCTTCAGTTTCTTCCTTTCCTCTTCACAACAATGGGTGTCTCTGTAGGTTTACACCCCAACATTCCTGTCTTGATAAGTAAATCGAGAATATATTTTCTTTGAGACACATAAATCTCTTTCTGTGATCTTGCAACCTCCATGCCTAGAAAGTATTTCAAGTTACTAAGATCTTTCACTTCAAATTCCTTTCCAAGAGCCTTCTTTACTCTATCTACCTCTTCCCTATAGTCACTTGTGACAATTATATCATCAACACATACAATGAGAATACACCTCTTACCACCTTCCATTTTTACAAACATCGTGTGATCAGACAGTCTACCCTTCAATCTTCAAGACTTTCGAGAATTTGTCAAACTAGGCCCGCGGTGATTGTTTTAGGCCATACAAAGGCTTGAGCTTACACACTTGATTATTCTTTCTTGCCTCAAAACCTAGAGGTAGTGTCATAAAGACTTCTTCCTTAAGGTCACCATTTAGGAAGGCATTTTTAATATCTAGCTGATGGGGAGGCCAATCTAGATTTACAGCCACAGAGATCAGGATTCTGATGGTATTAAGCTCGGCCACAGGGGCAAAAGTTTCTTTGTAGTCCAAGCCATATGTTTGAGTGAACCCTTTTGCCACTAATCGTGCCTTTAATTTGTCCAACTTACGTGTGGCATCATTCTTTAGGGTGAACACCCACTTACAGGCCACAACTCTTTTCCCTTTTGGTAGCTCTATGATTTGCCATGTGCCATTTTTTGTTAAAGCATTCATCTCCTCCACCACAGCATTCTTCCAATTTGGTATGCTAAGAGCTTCATATACATCATTGGGAATCTTTACTTTGTCAAGGTTAGTTACAAAATTGTGGAATTGTGAGGATAGAGTCTGATAACTCACAAACCTTTGGATGGGATGCTGTATGCAAGTTCTAAGTTATTTTTTGAGGGCTATAGGTAAATTTGCCTCCACTTTTTCATCTTTAGGAGCCTCTTGTGGTTTAGATTCTGGTTATGCTTCAGGTATAACAGTCTCCCTTTCTCGCCATTTCTTCCTTGAGTAGACTATTGGTGTCTTTTCCAGTTTTTAGTGCAATCTGAAAGACTTTTTACTTCAGCTTTTGAGTTTTGGCCTAGGAGATTCGATCCTGAATTCGGTGGGCTGTTGGTTTAAGAGTTCAGACTCTATTTGAGGGTTTGTTGGTGCAAGAATGAAGGGATCAGAATCATGAATGGTGGTGAATTCTTTACCCCTTTGCCTCTCACTTTCCAAAGACTGAAAGTCACTCCCTCTCTCCCCCTGACTTGAAGTATTTGGGTAAAAGGACTCATGCTCAACAAAGGTAACATCTCTGCTTATGTAAAGCCTTTTGTTATGAGGATCAAAGCATTTATACCCTTTTTGTGTAGAGGAATAACCAAGAAAGATACATTTGACGGCTTTAGGGTCCAGCTTTTGGGAATGATGGGAGTGAACATAAGTGGAACAACCAAAAATTTTAAGTGGTAGGTTGGTGTCAAGATGAGTAATGGAGTGAGATTCTTTTAATTTCTCAAGAGGTGTGGTAAATGAGAGGACATGACTTGGCATGTGGTTGATTAAATATGTAGTGGTAAGGATTGCATCGCCCCAAAAATATTTGGGGACATTATAAGTAAATAGCAAAGCATGTGCAACTTCTAAGAGATGTTTGTTTTTCTGTTCTACAATACCATTTCATTGGGGAGTGTTAGGACAGGTACTTTTATGGACAATTCCATATTCTGTTAGGAACAGATCCATGATTTTATTGAAGTATTCAGTACCATTGTCAGTATGGAGAACTTGGATTTGTGGTGTCAAACTAGTTTTTTATCATTGTGTAAAATTGAGAAAAGACAGAAGGCACGGTGGATTTATCTTGTAGTAAGTAGACCCAACACATTCTAGTATGGTCATCAATAAATGTAATGAACCATTTAGTATTTGTATGATTAGCAATACGAGCAGGACCCCACAAGTCACTATGAATAATGGAAAAAGGATGGGTAGATTTATATTCAACAGGTTTGAACACATATTTGTGATGTTTAGCAAGCTCACATTTAGCACAGTGAAATGAAGAAGTTTTATTAACTTGAAATTCAGGAAACAAATGACACAAGTACTGAAAATTTGGATGATCCATTCTTCTATGCCATAACATAAGATCATTAAAGTCTTTATTTACAGAAGTAGATGCAACATGGCATTGGATTCGAGACTAAGACTACTCACAGTTGATTCATTAAGATAGTAGAGACCGTTATGCTCCTTAGCACTGCCAATCGTCTTCCCTGATAAGGGGTCCTAAAAAATACTAAGTAGAATAGAAATGAGCCCAACAATTTGCCTCTTTAGTCAACTTACTTATAGAGAATGAGTTACAAGCCAAGTAAGGTACATGTAAAACATGATTTAGTTTCATAACTTCATAAATAACCACACTTCCTATTCCTGCTATTGACGAGGAAGACCCATTAGTTGTACTCACTGTTTCATTCCCAGCACTAAGAACATAGGTATTGAATAATTTAGCATCTGAGGTCATATGATCAGTTGCCCCAATATCAACAATCCATTTGGAGTTACTATTAAAAGTAAGCAAGGCACATTTACTTTTGTGAGCCACGGATGCAGTATGATTCAGTTTTTGGTTTTTCTCATTCTTCTGCAACACACTGAGCATCTCAAATAGCTTACCTAGTTGTTCCTTATCAATTTTAGATATTGAATTTGGTTTATTTGGTGGTACATCATGAGAAGTTTGGTAACTTCATTGCTTGCCTTTCTTCGGCTTCTAATCGGTTGGCTTTCCATGTATATCCCAACAAGTTTCACTGATATGCCCAATCTTCTTGCAATGTCCACAAGTAACCCTCCCTTTTTGGTTCTTCTGGCTCGAATCAGTGCCCTTGCTCACAAGTGCAGCAGTGTCTAGGGAAGAAGTTGGTGCTCCAGGAGTCATTACCTTGTATCTTGACGCCTCACGACATACCTCTGAGAATACTTCTCTAGTGGATGGGAGTGGTATATGGCTCAGAACTCATCCCCGAACATCATCCAGAGATTGATTTAGTCCCGTGAGGAACTAAAGTACACATTCATTCTCCACTTGTTCCTTTTAATGGGTTGCATCATTACTGCTAGACCATTCCACTTTTGTCATCAAGTCTAATTCTTGCCATATGGTATTTAGCTCCAGCTAGAAAGTCGTGACATCACGTTCTCCCTATTGTAGCGACCATGCCTTTGTTTTAAGCTTGTATATTTGTGCCAAATCCTTCCCATTAGAGTGTGAATCTCGCACAGCTTGCCAGATTTCATGAGCTGACGGAAGAAATATGAAGCTCTATTGAATTTTCGGAATCATGGCATTGATTGGCCATGATGACACCAATGAATTTTCGGTATGCCATTGTTGTAGCTCCTTCATACTGGACTCTTCTGGAGTTTTTGATGAGCCATCAAGGTAACCCATCTTTCCTTGGCCTCCAATCGCAAGTTGCATAGCCTGTTCCCACACACGATAATTCGTGCCATTGAGTTTTATAGTAACCATGAGCATCGATGATCCATTATGACCAGTGATTGACCTGAGAGGACCATCAGCCTTGTCTGGATCGATTTGCGAGGACCCGTCACTCTTCGACATTGGAGAAGTGTGAATTGGGTGCAACTCATGCGACTTGTCTTTGGTGCCTTTTGTCTCTGAGTTTTCGGCGTTGATGCTTACTAGTGGCTCTGATACCATGTAGCAAATAGGTTGAAAACTCTTGGCTAATTGATCCTGAGTATGTATAAAGATTTATACATGAGAGAAGACGATCAAATCTCCAAGAAATAAGGAGACTGAATCAGGAGAGGATATCTGGGAATAAATTACCTAAAAAATTCTCTATTTTCACTACCCACAGTATCCCCTTTAATAATAAACAATATTTACATTAAATATAATAAAACAAGTCAACCACAGATTTACTCAATTCTAGTCACTGGAAAACATGGACTTTAATATTTTTGACAATTTTTTTTTCAAACAATCATGTTGACATTCTTGCAGTAATGCAATTTTGTTGTTTACTTCAATTGACAAGATTTTCTTCAACTGTATGCATTAAGGTCATGAGGTCTGTATTAGCAATTGAAATTGCTACACTGTCGTTTGGCATTTTGTACCCCGTTCTCTAATATTTCCAATTTAGCTGGAAAGAAGTGCATTCACATTCTGTTGTTTGGGGAACTTTTTTGGAAATATAATGGGGGAATTTTCAAGTATATGCTGTTAAATATATGTGAATTGCATCAGTCAAGCATTTGGAAACAGGATTTATATTTTGTAAATAATTTTATTGTCTGGACCGAATTTGTATGATATATTAATATGAAAGTTGTATGCATTCCTCTTTGATTGCCACTTCCCATAAAAACTTGGCAGTAGGTTATATTTTAAATTGTTCTTTCTGCTTTTGGGACCAGAATCCAGATCAATTCAAGTTTGAATATTCCTGATTTGATATGCTTAATGGGTTGTGTGATCAAATGTGTATGATTGGGTTCGGTTGGAGCAGTGAGGCTCAGACCTAGGTCAAATCCATTGTCATCCCTAGTTTATGTTGCTACTCTCTTACCACTTTCAGTTACACTTTCCAGTTTATATATGTACTATGATTGTATGGTGTTTTTTCATTCACTTTTGGTTTTTCTGTTAACCAGTAATACCACAAAGAACATGGTTTTGCCAAATGCATCTGAGGACTTGTCAACAGAAATGGAAGTTGATGCATATAGACGCCTCTTTCCATTGCAGTATTATGAGCGTCATCTTGTTGAATCTATTAGGCCTGATGGCAGACCACTCGGAAGGGCCAGAGATACAACTATAGCTCTTGGTTAGCTGCTTCCTTTGTTTACTTACAATCTCTGTGTCTTCTGCTTATTAATTACTTCATGTTTTTAACAAAGTGAAGGCTGTTAACTTCCTTCATCAGGGGCTGTTGCATCTGCTAATGGATCAGCCCTTGTTAAGATCGGATCAACTGTTAGTCACTCTGTCTCTACTGTTCTTGATGTCTTTGTTTATTGAGGTTATCATTTTTATTGTTTAATGCACTTCAATCACATAATTCATTAATTTCACAGACTATGTTGGCTGCTATTAAAATGGAAGTTATGACTCCCACCATGGAGTCCCCAGATGAGGGCTGTATAGGTGGGCCATCATTTGCTGGTCAACTTGGACAGTTTTTGCCCCCTTCTTATTGATTCATGTGCGTTAATTTCTGTCATTTCAGCCATTGATTTCCACATGCCCCCAATTTGTTCTCCTATTGTGAGGCCAGGCAGGCCAGCTGAGGTAGCACCAGTTGTGTCAAAGCAGTTGTCTGACACTATTTCAAGGCAAGCTTCTCATTTTAAAAGAGCTCTATGCTTATTTGTAATTATGATCTGTCACTTTGTTAGGTTTGGTTAATTTGGATTCTGCATGAAGTTAACATTTACAAAGTCTCCCTCCCCCTCCTTTTTTGTGTTTAAAATAACAAGAAAATATGAAGAAAACGTTTTTAGTTAGTGAAAAGCTTGAATGACATGCTTTAACGAAGTTGTGAAGTTTTGAAGAACAAGAGTAGACATTTAATATATATAGGATTGCAGTAGGATTTCACAAATTTGGCCAAGTTGATTCAATTTCAATCTGTCAACTATATTGTACTACAAATATGTTGGTCTTTTGTGCTAGCCTTGTAATTCTTAAATGCATCAAGGTTCTTTTTCTCAATTTAATCTATAGAGATTTCTTGTCCCATCTAAGTCTATTCCACTCCCATCCACGGCATGACTGCATTTCTTTAAATCTTACTGTGTTGGTGTTTTGTTATTTTGTTGAGGATTGATGACAATCTACATATTAATAATTTGGGGCGTTCTTATCTGACAAATTGGATTCCTGTTAACATCACCTCTTTTGTTCTTGTTGACATTTTTATTTTTATAGCTCTGGCATGGTTGATGTGAAAGAATTGTCCTTAGTCAGTGGAAAAGCTGCATGGATGGCATACTTGGTAAGCTCTTAGTTTTTATTGTTTGGATGACCATGGTCAAGTGACAGGGGTACCCATCTTTATCATACAGGATGTTTACTGTTTGGATGCTGATGGTGCTATTTATGATGCTGCTTTACTTTCAGCAACTGCTGCCTTATCTCATTGTAAGTGTTTCATCTTCTGTGTTATTTGGTCATACTGTGAACCTTTCAGAAGTTAGATCAGATTGTGACTTTTCTACTTTGTTCGTAAAGAATTCATGTATTTCTATGGACCTTCTTGTAAACTGCTAATTAAATATACCTGAACTATTAACTTAGCTGTGATGCATCTTATACAAGTTTCCATGGCTGGCAGTGCAAATTCCTGCCGTTTCTATGAATGATGATGGCAAAATAGTGCTGATGTCTGAGGAAGATGGAGAGAAGTTGGCACGAGAGGCAGTGAATAAGGAAAAGAGGAAGCTTACATTAAGAAGCATTCCATTCTCATTAACATGCATACTTTACAAGAACTACATCTTGGCTGACCCTACTGCAGAAGAAGAATCCATCATGGAAACTCAGGTGACCATAGTTTTGGATTCATCCAGTCAACTGATATCTCTATACAAGCCTGGTGGATCAGTTCTTGCTTATACGCCAGCTATTCAGGTTTGTTTACACTTTGTTTCCAAAAACTGAAATTTCATATGGCATCGATGAACCAATGTTAGATGAACCACCCCATTATGTTTTGGATGTTACCAATTACAAGTATTATCCTATCTGAAATTAATCAGATCTAAGAGCATGGAGTATTTTGCATTGTGAAAACCGCCAATTGCATCTTGTTTTGTCCTTAAGATTGGAATAAGACAAAGTAGACCTGAATTTATCAAAAGTTATGTAGTACCACGATTGATTCCCAAGGTAAATAATTGCCTTACAAGTAACTGAGATAAAAGATTTCTGATCTAATGTATTTGTATTGTTTCCTTAACAAGTTATTGTGGATGTTCATTTCATTTGGGCCATTAAAATGATGGTACATACTACATAGATGATTTTAGAGACATTTGTTGAAATAGGAGTTAAATGGTGATTGATGTGGTTTCAGGATTGTGTGGCACTGACCAGGCAACGAGTAAAGGAGCTGCAGAGCATCTTAGATGAAGCAAATTCTGCTATGGAGGTTGAGTAGATTGGTTTGGGCATTTGTTTCTGTTTTTAGTTCTTTGTACATTGTAGATCGTTTTAACGGCAGCTTTCTTGATTCTCTGATTTCAACTTCTATAACAAACCAGTTTTTTTACCCCCTGAAGAACAGGTTTTTCAAAGTTTTGGCTGATGTAGTCTTGTTTTGTATGATTTTAATTATATGCTGCTTTATACTTGTAATAGTTTTATGAAATGTTACTTCTGCAATAGGGAAAATTACAATTAAGGATGTATGAACATCGGTAATTATTTATGACCACAAACTGCTGAAATTGAATTTCAAGATCATTGTCTATTTTTGCAGTTTAAAAGATAATGTTTCGACTAAAACACTTGTCTGAAATGCACATTTATTCATTTATTTTTAGAGCTATTTTAGTCACTCATAACAATAATTTGTAAACTGTGCAGAAAAGGATCTTGGTTCTTAAATTCAATTTCAAAATTTCTTGGTCCTTAATGATTATTTCAGATTTTCGCAGGTCTCTATTTGTGAGTTTTCCTTTGAAATATGTCCTGAAAAGAGGAGTCAATTGTTCCTTGACGCTTGGGGCAGTGTTGGGTACGTGTAGAAGAGATTTGGTGGAAAAAAATGAGGCATAGTATTTTTCTAGTTGAGTTTAGCGAATGGCAAAGTGAGAGAGTTTTCCCATTCTCATCACCATTCTTGAATCGGCAAGATTCAAGCACTTCAGTCTTATATTTAGGTTTTCATTTATGTAGGTAAATTTTTAAAATTTTATATTTAAAATCTCACATTTAAAATTTATAGATTCTAATTTAGTTATTTCAATGATATAAAAAATTTCAAATTATAATATTAAAATATGTTGTTTGGATTTTAAATAAAATTTTAAATTTTATGTTTGAATTTAAAGGTAATTTGGATGAAATCGATGGTTTGGTCCTAGTCAAAGTTGACGATCCAGTCTCGATTAGGGGTGGCAATATGATCTTGGTCGACTTTAGCTTTCCAAACTCAACCAATGTTAGTGGTTTACTCTTGATCGGCAATGATAGTTTGGTTTTGGTCAACATTGATGGTTTGATACTAGAAAATGTCTAAGGATTAGTACGAGACGATTACAGTAGTCTAAGAGCTGTGGATTGGGCTTGGATAACAACACCAGGACATTCCTTGTTAATAGCAATGTTTGACGTCGGATGATGAAGGCAGATGAATCAAAGATGGTGATCTCAAATTAGTCCCAGATGGTGATGGTAGCGGTGAATTGGCACAAGTTGGATGTAATGGACTGGCATCGGACGATGGTAGTAGACCAACACCAAATGATGGCACTAGATCAACATCAAATGATGACAACGACGACAAACCGGCATTGGGTGACAAAGGATGGTTGTCTTAGATGATGTTGCCAGTATTCCAGTCCTTTTTGTCACTAGTAGTCCAGTCCTTTTTGTTGCCAGTAGTCCAGTCATAGTCAAAAGTTGGTTAGTCGGTCTCGATTGTCCCCAGCAGTACAATCTTGTTGGCGCCAACTATTCGATCTTGATTTGCCTCAATTGTTTCATCCCAATCAAAGGTGGTAGTTTGGTCTCGATTAGTGCTAATAGTTCTGTCCTTGCCACAGTCGATCGTTAGGTCCAAGTCGATGTTGCAGTCTATTCTTGATCAATACCGGCGGTGTGTCTTAGTCCTTGTCAGTGATCTGATCCAAATTGATTTTATTCGTGTGATCCAAGTCAAAGTTAGCCGTTTGATCTCGGTCAGTGCTGATGGTTCGGTTCCAATCAACTTTGGCCATCAAGTCTTGGTTGACGCTGACAACCTAATCTTGGTCGTTGTTGACATTTTGGTCTTGATCATCGCTTGTGGCCCTGATGGATAGAGCTGATAATTTGCGTAGGTCAGGCTTATTGGTTAGGCTCAATTTGGGTTGAGCTTAAAGTATCATACTTGCTACAAAAAGCCAATATAGTCAAGCTTGGCTTTAACTTTTTTTGGCTAGGTTCGGCTGGCTTGTTGGACTTGGCCAAAATTATCGACTCTACATACATAGAGTGAAATTTTAGGGGTCGAGTTTATTCAGGTTAGGCTCAATTCAGGCCAAACTTATTCAAATCAAGCTTAAAGTGTCACACTCTCTTAAAAAAAGCTCAGTCCAATGCATTTTCGGGCGGGTTTGAGTTGGCTTATTGGGCTTGACTTGAATTACTAGCTCTATTGATGGATGTTAGTGATAGGCAATGATGTCGAAGTCGATAAGGTTGTGAAGTTGATGAACGAATGTGAAGGAAGAGATAGACTTCCATTGAAATTTGAAATAATAGAAATTTAAAAAGGATTTAAAATTACAAAAGGATTCAAGTAAGATTTGGATTTGACCCCAAATCTAAATCCACACATTTTTAATTACCCAAACAATGTATTTAACTCAAATTCAAATCCAAATTCACATACATCCAAACATAACATTATTTATCTTAGTGATAGTCTAATAGTTTTATAAAATATTAAATTTTAACCGTTGAGTTTTTAATTCAAGAATGAGGATGGGATGAGGAGAAGAAAAAGAGAGAAATAATGAGATCCAAATCCATAATCAACAGCATTTTAAAGTTTCAACATTAATTATTTCCTCAATCTCAACACACTTTAATCAGTCGCAATATCACATTGCAAGTCTAATAACAAACAACTCAACTCAAAATCTTAATAAGCTAAAGTTCCATTTAAATTTCAACACAAAATCAAATTGATAAATTCGAGGTCTTCAACTGCAAGACCCCATAACCCAAGTAATCCAGCTTCCAGCAATTAACATATGCAACATCCTGTGGGAACAATCATCTTTAATCTAGAGAGAGAGAGAGAGAGAGAGGAAATCATAATATTTATATATCATTATATAAACTAGAGCACTACCTATTTCAATAACTTCTAATTTGAAAAATGTAATATCGTGAACAGCCCACCTATTTCTCTTTATTTTGTTTATGTTCATGGACAATAACTTGAACATGTGCCAAAATGCTACTACATACTTCATACTCTTGCATGGTTCACCATTCACCTAATATTTGTTTTTTCGATTGGGCTTTCATTATTAGTTTTTCACGTATTTGTTCTTTCACAGTAACTCTTGGTTGTTCAATGTCTGGAAATTCTGACTTTCGGTTTAGGATGAGAAAATGTAGTAATATTATTCTTTGTTCTTCCCACGTTGCCTCCAGAGCGGTAATTCTTATATAATGTGCTCTTGTCTTTTTTCCTGGATGATTTAATTTCCGTATGAGATGCCGACCTCCATAACGTTCTGTCTCTGGATTTTTCAGTTTTGAATATACTGATTTCACGATAAATAAAACATCTCTCATACACACAAGATTCATTTTATTTAAAATAATATTTATTATCAAAAACTCAAATTTGTAAAACCTTTACCATGATAGAAAATAAAAATGAATGACATTTTTTCAAATACTACCATGGTAATAAAAAAACTTATCATGATAGAAAAAACAAAACTAATAATTTAAAATCTTATCATGATAGAAAAGAGTCTACCATAGTAATTAAGAGATAAACGATTATTTAAAAACATACTATGATAATTTTTTTCGTATAATAAAACCTTTTATAAACATTAACTACTATGATAATAAAAGAGCTACACAAATCCAAATAGATCCACCATGGTATTTAACCAAAACAAATTTATCTAATTAGAGGTACCATAATGGGATGCCATTTAAAAAAGTCCTTAAAACTTTATAATAAAGATATAAAACATTTTAAATAGCGGAGCACACAATTCCTAGGCTTACAATTCTCCAAAACAAGTTTTTCAATAAATTAGCTAATAGCTTTAGTTTTAGACTATGACACCTCAAAATTATCAAGTTTCCTTTAACACCTTTTTATATACTTTTTAAGTTTTTCAAACCTTAACCAAAGCTAAGAGCTAAGGTATAGCTGCGAATACGGGCAAGCCTAGCCCTTATAGGCTTGGCTCTTAAAGGCCTGACCCTTGAGCCTAGTTATATATTTTTATTTTCTTTTTTGAGGCCTGGCCCTTATATAAAGGGCTCAGGGTCGGGCCTGAAAGCCTTGTTAAAAAAAATAAAAAATTAAAATAAAATTAAATATTATAAATTAATTAAAATATTTTAAAATTTAAAAAATTAAAATTCACACAATATTTTAAAAATTAAACAACATATTTAGAAATCTAAAAAATACACATTCATAAATCCAAATCTAAATCCTCCTTGTCCTCATCATCTACGAATAAAACATTATATCCCTCGGATGTAAGTGTATTTGTTGAAGATGGAAGTGAAAATTTAATGTCAATTACCTTTACAATTTCTTCTTCATCACCTACAATAAATATTAACCAAATCATATCATTATCAATCAAATATATATATGTATGTGTATATATATATATATATATATATAAAATAATCAAGCTTATCAAGGCTTGGAGGGCTGCTCGGGCCCGAGCTCTTTTTCACAGGGCTGATCAGGGTTAGGCTCTCAAGCCCGGTTTCTTTAAAAAAAATAATTTTCAAAGCCTGAACTCTTATTTAAACAGGACCTATAAGCCCAACCCTTTAGACCCGGCTTTTATTCCCGGCTCTAACTAAGTTGTGGTAATATTTGACCATACAACACACATCATATAACACTGGCATAAATACAAAGCACAAAATAATCTCATAGTCAGGTTCTAGTTACCCAACACATTTATACTAAAAATTCCAAATATGTAATCATAACATAAATTTTCAAAAATCAATTTAAGACCATGAGGGGTAGACATAAGTCCCGTGATGTAATTTGATCCTTCTCCTCTTTACTTGGGGCCAGATCCAATAGGTGGCCGTGACAAGTGATCTTTGTGCCACAAGCTGTGGTGGATGTACAATAAGCTGTGAAAGATGTGATAAGTGTATATTTTATAATTAAATAGGTTTAGGTTTTAGTTTATATTTGATTAAATTTATTAAGGTTGCATGCCTATTTAATTAATATTCATAGATTTTTCTCATGTGACTTAATTATAAAATAAAAAGAGATTTTGATGGACAATCTATTCACATTTTCTTTTATTTATTTTTTTAGGGAATTTGTAAAAGAAGATGAGCCTGAAAGATACAATATATATTTATATATACACAAATTGAAGAGTTCGGATATGGGACGCAAATGACGAATTCAAAGGGGGAAAAACAAAGAAAGCAAGAGGAGATCGGTACGATGCGCAAGATTGGATTCAAATAACAAATCTGATTAAATCCAATTACAAAGATAAA